ATTGTCCCACAGCCAGGCGACTTGCAGCCAATGTAAGAAGCAGGGCCATTACGCGAGTGTTTGTAGAGGACGGCAAAGAGGGCAAGGCCCTTCTGCGTCATTTGGCACCCAGGCTGCGTCCGACAGCCGCGTGTGCGGATGGATGGACCAGGGAGATGGATTCCTGGAGGCATACAGCATCCACGACGGAACAAATGGATTTCTCCTTCCCCTGAGAGTCCTTGTTCTCAATCATCAACACATACTACAGATGCGCGTTGACACTGGCAGTATGGTGACCATTCTGCCACGTTCCCAAGTACCAGCAGGCGTGACACTTCAGCCGTCACAACTGGCAATGCAGCCCATTCGCTCTACGCGTGTGAAACCCATCGGCATGTTCAATGGAAGGTTGAGCAATCACGGCCGAGTGGTAACCGAGACGATCTATGTGGTGGATGATTCCGAGCGCCACATACCAGCTCTGATCGGAGAACGAGCCAGCCTGGCACTGGGTCTACTGATGATACCCGAGACGGGTTACGCAGATGCTGCACCGATCGAGGAGTCAGACAGTCTTCCTCCTATGAAGACACCGGTGAATGTGCATACGAAGAAAGACGCCGAGCCAGCACAGCAAACGTCTCGCCGCGTACCACCTGCCCTCATGCCGTCGTTGCGTGCCCAAATCGATGTTTGGGTGCAACAGGGAGTCGTGGAGCCAGTCCACCTGGTGGATGAAGACGATTTTGTGTCCCCGTTGGTGGCAGTTCCAAAGCCCGATCGCACGTATCGTTGGTGTGTAGATCTCCGACAGGTCAACAAGTCCATTGACCGGCCGGGACTGCAGCTGCCAACCACGGATGAACTGCTGGGACAACTGGCCAACGCGTCGTATTTTTCCAAAATCGACCTGAAGACCGGCTATTCTCAACTGGAGCTCAAGCCAGAGTCACGGCGCTACTTTGTCATTGCCTCACCCCTCGGGTATTTCCGTTTCAAACGTCTGCCATTCGGAGTCTCCAGTGGCCCGGAATTGTTTCAGCGGCAAATGGAACAGATTCTGGCTGGGTGTGAGGGCGTCGTTATCTACCTCGATGACATTGATCTTTGCTGCCACCCAGGAAGAGCACGATCGCCGGCTCGCAGCAGTGAAGGCTGCTCTTGCAGCACACAGCGTCACCATCAACGCCAAGAAGTCTGTGTACAACGTATTGTCAGTACCATTCTTGGGTCATGTCGTCTCAGGTAATGGCGTCGCGCCAGGTCCAGAGAAGGTGACAGCGTTGCAGAATATGAAGGACCCGACTACCCTAGCTGAGCTGAGCGCGTTCCTTGGTCTTGCCACCTACGTCGGCAAGTCCCGAACATGGCGCAAGTGATCCAGCCTCTCACGGCGCTCCCCAGTGGCCCGTGGAACTGGACTGCAGCGTGCACCGCGGCAGCAGCTTGCATACGTAGTCACTTCAGTACAACACCAGTGCTCCAGCTGTTCCAACCCCAGCGACCCACACGTATTGAAGTGGACGCTAGCGGCAGTGGCCTGGGGGCGGTATTGGCCCAGCAACAAGATGATGGACAGTGGCGTCCAGTGCATTTTGTCAGCCGCAAGCTAACGGGACCGGAGTCACGCCACGCAGCCATCGAGCTCGAAGCATTGGCAGTGAGTTGGGCCGTCAGCCGTTTCCGCAGCTAAGTCACCGGAATGGCATTTCATGTCATCACTGACCACAAGCCTCTCCTGCAGATCTTCGCACCCACCTACCCGTTGTCTCAAGCTAGCTTGCGTGTGCAACGACTTCTGTTTAAGATACAGGATATGATCTTCACTGTCAGCTACCGCCCGGGCCAGGAGAATCTAGTGGCAGATGCGTTGTCGAGGTTGCCTGTGGAGGAAGCAGATGTCAACTTTGCTGTTGTCCAGCACATCACCATGGCTGATGGCCTGTCCACTGATCATCGTCAGCGTATCGCAGAGCCCACCGCAGCCGATGCTACACTTTGCGCAGTCAGAGACGCGCTGAGGACTGACAACTGGCCTTCAACTTCAGCTGTTGCACCATACCGCGCGTTGCGACACGAACTAAGCGTCTGGCGTATACTGGCACGCAGGACTTCGTCATCCTTCGCCAAGAACGACTAGTGATCCCCGAAGCGGCAGTACCGGAAGTTCTCAAACCGGCTCATGATGGTCATCCTGGTGTGCGCAAAACCAAGGCCCGGCTTCGTGAGTCGGTCTGGTGGCCAGGCTGGGCGGAACATGTCAAGCAGCACCTGAAGAAATGTGAGCCGTGCCTCAAGGAGACCGCCACAGCGCCTGTCCCTCTGAAGCCTCGTGAACTCCCCCCTCGTCCATGGCACACGATTGCCATAGACCTGTTCTACTACCAGAACCGACCGTTCTTCAGTATGCTGGACCTCTACTCCCGCTATCCGATTGTAGCTCCTCTTCGCTCCGAGAGCACAGCAGCCGTATTGAGTGCTTGTAACCAGGTGTTCACTCTGTTTGGAACACCGCGGCGGATCATTTCGGACAACGGACCACAGTTCGTCAGTGCCGAGTTTGCATCAGCATGTCAGCAGTGGAATACCAGTCACGAGCGTATCGTTCCGTACTCTCCGCGTCAGAATCCAGTGGAGAGATTGCACCAAACCCTCAAGCGTCATATGAGGAAGTCGGGTTGCTCCTCCGCAGACGAGGCTCTGCAACGAGCGCTACGCACGGTTCGCTCCACCATCAACACTATCACCGGCAGGGCACCAGGTGATCTCTTCTTGCGTGGGGGATACAATACTCCTCTGCGATACCTCAAAGAGCAGACAGAGAGCATTGATGATGACGACGATGAGAGCGACACTGATGAGGAGGTGCGCATTGCCGACGCAACTGCTAAAGCCACTGCCAAGGCGCGCTTTGACGCGCGTCACCTTGTGCAGCCCAAAGTGGTCAATCCTGGAGCAGCTGTGTTCTTGAAGGAACCGTCAGGCAACATCGTACCGGCAGTTATTGTGCACTCTTCACCTCACGATGTGACCGCCATCACCGATGCAGGAGTTGAGCGAAGACGTCATCTGGACTCAGTGATCCCTCGCCCGTCCTCCGACTCGACTGTTGCCGACTCTACTGTTGCAACTCCAAATGAACCGCAGCCTAGCCACACTGTTTCGGCTGATGCTCCCAATGTCCGGCGCTCTGAGCGCAGGGCACAAGCTCCCGCACGCCTCAACCTCTGAGTGTTCTCGGTTGACAGGTCGTGTTGACACTTGCATGTCAGAACCCGTAGCCTTCTTCTCATTGTTGTTTTTGTTTTGCTCTGGATTCTTTCTTCAACACTTTTGTTTTGTTTTTCCAGTCTGCCCATCCTTCCTTGTCATGGGGGGGGGGGGGGAATGTTGTGATCACAGGAGTGTGATTCCCACCTACTTATAAATGTGACGTCATGTATGTGCTGTGTACATTATGCGTCATGGGTCTCTGTTTTATTATTCTGTGTTTTATGCATGTTTTGTGAGCGGATCTTTCATATGATCGCTTAGTTCTGCGTGCTTAGTGATGCGCAAGCGCATGGGCACTGTTTTCGTACACTGTTTAGGTTTTTGGATTCGGATATTTGATTTGAGTTTGTTTTGGACAAGAACTGAAACTAGCACCAATGTTGTCTTGTCTGACCGAACCCAACAGTAATGAAGTGTCTGTAGTGGAGCCTCAATACTAAGTATAAGTCTTATTTTTATCTTGAGAAGTGAATGATATAAAGGATTAAAGGGAGAGGCAGTTTTATGGTTAATATTCACTGCTCACAGCAGCTCCTATGTCTAATTTTGAACTCTGGATAGGGGATGCCTAATTGGCTGGACTTTATACAGGGAGTGTTGTCCACATAAAGACTCTGTATACTAGTAGTTGATTTCAAAGTTTGGACTCTGTACAGTGGATTTTGGACCAATGGACTCTATAGGGGTGAAGCCAATTGGCTGGACTCTATACAGGGAGTGATGTCCATCTAAACTTTGAGCTCACAGTTGATTCCAAGTTTGGACTCTGTACAGTGGATTTTGGACCAATGGACTCTATAATAGGGGTTGGAAATCATATAGGGGCTGGACTCTCTACTGAGTCCAACATATATTCTAGTGATTGTTAGTCTTGGTCATATGCTGTCTGATGAAGTGTTCTGACACGAAACTCAGAGTAACAGCGGAAAGAGACTTGTTTGCTTCATTGCTGTGTAATATTTGTATTACTTGCTCTGTCCACTGGACATTGAGCACTGTAAGCAGCCTAAGGACTTTAGACAACTGACAAGTAGATGAAATAGATTATTGCGGATAGTGAGAAATAAAAATGTCTTGCCTCCGAGGCTTTATTTCCACCGCCATAATTAGATCCTTTGTTTATACTAACTTCTCACTAACTTAGAAGTTGCGACTTCGGCGGTATTATTGATGAAGTTGGTTGTTCCAACGAGGAACACACGCTTCTTGCCGAGCTTATCACTTGACTGACTCACGACTGCCATCCGGCGCACACGAGGAGCACGTCGCACCTTCCACTCGGCAAACCTGCAAGAAAGGGAGCGGTGCTTTCTTGCAGGTTTGCCGGGTGGACGGTTCGACGTGCTCCTCGTGTGCTCCGAATGGCAGTCGTGAGTCAGTCAAGTGTCAAGCTCGGCAGGAAGCGTGTCTTCCTCGTTGGAACAACCAACTTCGTAACTTCTCACTATTTCATACTAATCCGATTCTATCACTTATGTCCTGGTACGTCTGGTTGCCATTCCCTACTGTTCACTTGCCCGTAATTCCTCCAATGAGAACACTAAGTCTTCTAACTTTAACTGGTAAGCAGTGTTGCCGGAAGAACGCCGTTCTGTCTGGAACTCTGACGTACAACCCAACCTCATTCTGCTTTCGGTGTCAATCAGACTGGTGTACACTATCACATTTTACTTCGATTCTCCTTTGGTGAAGCTCATGGCTTGTCGAGTGATAACTATTTTGATCCCAACCCGACTGTGTGACAGGTTCATTAATCAGCGTCGGCGAGTTTCGGACGGTCTCAATCGCTCAAGGCTAGGATCAGTTGGCCAGTCAGCGGCTGAATCCGGCACAGCGTGCACAGCAGTATCATCAACCTCAACCATGCAGATCGGCAATCCACAGAGCCAGCTGAGCAGCCACACACCAACTCCCATCCGATCGCCGACTATGTCCAGCAACACTGCACTAAGTCCTGTTCAGCTGCAGATGGTGATGTCACAGCAGCACTGGGATAGTGGGCACGGTGAGTGGTTGGCATAACATTCTTTTGGGAACAAAGGTCATTTGATGTATCATACAAGTAGTTCAGTGTGGGAGCAAACCCATTCCTAAAAAATCATCGCCGAAGTCGCAACCACTATTTCATACAAGTAGTTCATTATTTTACGTACATGAAATGTACATGTACATGTATGTGTTGTCGGTGCGTATGCGTGTTGCTGGTGTGAGTTAACTTAAAAGAGATTTCGTCTTCGGTTCATCATATCCAGTTAGTTTGCTCCGCTCATCGAGTGTAAAGAAGCGTTCACATAGAGCATATGCGTTTTCATTTTTCAATATGTTGTCCTCCTGTGAGGATAACAAGAGGCCCGTGCAGATCCTGGGGAGTTCGTTCGTTTCCTTTACTCTTATGATTTGTTGTCTGACTTTTTTTATAGTTGTGTGATCAGTCGGTGTGCTGGGGATTTGTGTGACATCAGGCCGCACCGAAAAATTCTTTGTTTCGGGTAACATGGCCAGAAAAATACCAGTCGGTCAGTCGGCTTTCTTTTTTTTGCCGATATTTTTTATGCATGTCATGCGCCAGATCTAATTACCGGTGTGCACTTGTGTACAGTACACAGCCCAGATACAAAATGTGTGGTCGATAAAACAGGCGTAGTAGCATTCTCAATCGACAGCTCGATCAGACTGCCGGGAACAGTCAAA